GTCAAGGGCATAGGCCGGGGGTTGCATGGTCGGTCCCCAGTAGGGAGTGCGCAGGAGGCAACTGATCAATGATATTTTTATTGATTTTTTACTGGGAGGAAGGGAGAGGGATAGAGAATTAGAAACATCAATGAGAGGGAGACATCCATCAACTGCCTCCTGCACACTCCCTACTAGGTATGTGCCCGCAACCAAGGTACGTGCCCGCAACCAAGGTACATGCCCTTGACCGGAATCGAACCTGGGACCCTTGAGTCCCCAGGCAGATGTTCTATCCACTGAGCCAAACCAATTAGGGAATCAGAAAATCACATTTTTAAGCACATACTCTAGCCATGACTTCCTACATTTCTAACCATTTTTTTCAATATCTCAACTCTAAACATGCCATGGACGAAAAAGGGGACCTGTAATAAGTTATAAATTCCTAACTGGGCAAGGTGGGTGGTCACACCCCAGGCCTATAACCTCAGTGAGAGGTTTTTTAAGCCAGCCCTGACCGTTTTTCTTGTGCATCTGGGTTAACACACCTCTGAAATGCTAGAAATAATAACTGCTCCCAAGAGAGCACATAATCTTACTATCCCGTAATCTAACCCTGCCTTGCTTTCTTCCACCTACTTGTAATCGCCCTTAAATTCCCTCCCTTTATCTCTAATGCATACAGATAACTGCAAACTGTCATTCTCTGGAGCATTTTAGATCTTGCTTCCCAGCAACTACTGTCAGTTTGGCTCAAATAAAACCTAATTTTTTTTTTTTCTTACAGGTTTGTATATTTCTTAAGCCAACAATCGTGACACAATTCCCACTACCTTTCCTTCTCCATCAAGTCCTCACCTCCCTGCTTACCTGCTTTAAATTCCACAGCCTTGCCTCCTTTTCCTTGTGAGTCATGCTTTCTTAGCAAAACCACCACTTTATCCATTATATACCCACACCCATACAACTTTACACGGCTGAAGAAAAAGCAAGAGCCATATTCACTAGTCTCACTTTAAATTCATTATCACTAACCTTGAGGAGTCCTTCAGTCTCTAGTATGCAATTGCTACAGGTATTTCCCATTGAAACCTAAAACTCAGCTCCTAACCAGCCCTTCCCACCCAAACCTTCCCTATTTCCAACTCCTATATCCTAAGCATTCTTTTTATCTCACATTCCACAGCCCATCTTTTGAAGTCACAGCCTAGTTATCACCCAGACCAAACCAGTATTCTCTCAACTGCATTACTGAGCCAGCCTCCTAATTGTTCTCGCTGATTTTGCTCTTCTCTCCACATTTCAGCTGATTCACAGATTTAATGGATCCTAGTAAAACTATGCCAGCAGCTTTTGGTTATGCTGGATTCCCATTTTGCAGTAATAAAATGCTAATTTTAGACCATAGAAAACTACTTTATTGCACAACCATTATTTCACATTATGTTCTGAATTCTTTTGATAAATATTTCCTTTCACACGCACACCACCTTAAAAAGTCATATGTATTTTTAAGAAAGCATTCGAGGTCATAAGACAGAGCCAAAGCTATCAACCTTTAGGGGATACAAACCCACAAGAGCTCAATTGATACAGCTGAGCTAATCAAAGACTCACAGATCCCGGCCCCCGCGGCACAGTGGTTGAGTGTGGACCCATGCATCAAGAGGTTGCTGGTTAATTCCCAGTCTGGACACATGCCCGGGTTGCAGGCTCATTCCCCAGTATGGTGTGTGCAGAAGGCAGCTGATCAATGCTTCTCTCTCTCTTCCTCTCCGTTTCCCTCTCAAAAAAAATTAATAAAAGCATAGTTAAGAAAGTCTTTTAGTCTTAGGATCGCTGCTGGAAAGGCCCGGCTGCACCCTGCACGCGATCGAAAGCCCTCGGAGGTGTGGCAGGAGGTGCTGAGGCACAAGGGCTGCTACCAGAGCCAGCCATACAGCACTGCAGTGCTTGCTGCCATCAGCGGCACCCCTTCCCCCCCAATTTCCCTATGCATCGAGGGAGTCCCTCATCCCTTGCCTGCTCCAGCAGTGAGCGTGACGCCAAGGGCGGCAGTGACAACAGTAGCAGCAGCACTAGTGGCTCCGACAGCAGCTGCTGCCCAGGGACCCAGAGAGGTCTCTGAATTTGCAAAACCGCCATGCAGGCCTTCCCAGAGACGTTGTGGCACCTAAGAACCAACATAGAAAGCTGGTGAGCAAAACTTTGGTTCTTGTCTTACTTCATTATCTAGGTCCTCCAGGATAATGTTGAATAGAAATGGTGAGAGTATATGTTCTTGCTTTGTTTCTGATATTATGACAAAGTGTTTGTCATTTTATCGCTAAATGTAATATGAAACGCTAGGTGTTTTCTGGATGCTCTTTATATTTCTAAATTGAGAATACTGTCAAATCTTTTTTCTCTAATTAATATGACCATGTGGCTTTTCATCCCTGTATTGTTAATATGGTAAGTTATATGTGTTGATGCTTTGAATGTTATATGATCTTGCATTCCTGAAATAAGCTTCACTTGGTCATGATGAATTTTTTTTTTATATAGTGCTTCATTTGCTAATATTTTCCCCACCATTTTGCATCTGTGTTCATGAGGGATGTAGGTCCATGATTTCCTTCCTCTCTTCCTCCCTTTCCCTTTCTCCTCATTCTTTCCTCACTTCCCTTCTTCCCCCAACTAGGAACTGTGATTAGTACTGTTTTCTCTACATGTGTGGATTATCCTATATAATAAAAGCCTAATATGCAAATTGTCCCCTTGACCAGAGTTTGACCAGGGGGTGGGGCTAGCTCAATCGTCTGTTCCCCTCCTCCCCTGGCTGGCCCTGCCCCTGATTGGCTACCCCTACCCTGATCAGGGCAGGGCTGGCCAGCCAACCTCCCGTGACCTCTCCTCTGGCCGGCTTGGATTGGGGTGCTCCAGCTAGACCCCAGCTGTGCACAAATTTGTGCACTGGGCCCCTAGTAACTTATAATAGCAGACCTTCTAGTTTAAAGCCACTCTTACATTTCTGGGGAAAAAATCCAACCATGTGATATTACAAATTTCTCAATATTATTGGATTAGTTTTGTTCATATATACATAAATAAAATTGACCTGTCATTTCCTTTTCTGGTTTTGTTATCAAGATTATTTTAGCCACATAAATGAATTTAAAAATTTCTTCTTTTTTGATAAAGAAAATTAGTTATTTGGCAGAACCTTTTTATTATTTACCCACCATTACAGAGGACAGTGGGTAAGGAGAGGGAAACCACTTTGATTTAAATGTTATATGGCTGTTTAGTCTTCTTGAGTCAGGTTGGCTAAATCACATTTGTGTTTCTTCTGAGGTACATTACATTTATTAAAAATGTATTATTTGGTTCTGCCTTTGAATTTTCAAGCTTACTGGCAAAAGTTGTTTGTGCTTTTAGCTGTACCTCTTGTAAACAAAATAACTATTGCATGCCTATTATCTTGCACTAAAATAATTTTTAAAAATTATTAAAAAATCTTTAAAGATTAATCTAGTATTTACTTCAGAATCATCATCAGACTGTTGAAAATGTCTTAAATTTGCCAATTCATTTTTTTAAGGAATCCCAATATGACAAAACTTGACATTTTTAGTTAAATAGTTTTTTCTATTTTTAAAATAAATAGAGAAAACTATTTAACTAAAAATGTCAAAATTGCATATTTTCAATGCCCAACAGTGATTTTTAAAAAGAAATTAAACAATATGCTTTCATTAAGAAAATTTTAAAAATCTATACAACTCAAGCTAATGAAATATTTTATTGTGCATAATAAAAGTGGTATTTTTTTAAAAAACATTTCCAGGCCCAGACATTTGCAGGAGTATGTGAGAAAAGAATTCCACTGGAGTATAATAAGCGGTACTCGATTGAAGAAACCATAGTCCTATCCATTCCCTATATTAAATACTAACATTCACCACAGGCTTGGAATCCCTGTAGCATCAGTAATTGTATTTTTAAAAATATTATAAACATGCATATGATGCACAGGAAGATGGAAAAATTTAGACTGTTACTGCACACCTTATGTACTCCCAGCTTTTCTAATTTACAACCAGTTAAGAATCACAATTTTTAAAGTAAGTATTTTAAAATAATATATGGCTCACTGGTAAATGATTTTCTACTCAAATAAATAAGAAAATTTTCATCTTAATGTCACATGGAATTTCAGCACTTTTCAATCCAAGAAAAAAAAAAAATCAACTGAGACATGGTCATAGTTCAGGATTATATATATATTACAATTTGCCTTGTTATAATACATTTGTGGCTTCATGATAAAAATAACTCGAGAACATATGGAATTCAAGCTAATTTGCATAACTCACAAGAAAAAAGCATTATATGCATTCTGAAATAAGTTTTTCATTTAATTTTAGAATCTCAAAACAGCATTAGACCTTGGCCTTATTTAAAAAAAGTTTAGTTAAACACTAAAAGCTAGCTAAATAACCTTCTTGAAAGCTTTAAACACAATTGGTATAGAAAATGCTTTCCCTCTAATCTCAATTTTACACAATGGGAAGAGGTGAGGGGGAAAAGGTAGACAATTTCTTTAGCAGCATATATGGCTAAATCCATCAACCACCATTACTGACCCCTTTAAAAATAACTGGCAAATATCAAAAGTTACACACTTCATAAACCAAAGGACAATAATTTTAGGGTTATGGTAATTAAAATATTTTTGAAACACTTCCAAAACTTTTAATATTAAACTAGAGTAGTCATCTCTTCATTGTAAGAAAGACGTAACAGAAAGTGAAAGACATTTAAACTAAACTTATTTTCAATCCTCTTTGAAGAAAAGAAATTAAAAATAATGGCTGATTAGCTAAGCTTTGTGCTCTAACCAAACTAATTACAGTGATCTATTGTAAATGGCAATAGCCCACCTGGCTGGGTAGCTTGATCATTCTGAATAATTTTGCAATAATTTTTTAAAAAACACAAAGACACTAAAATGATCCGATCATGCAATGTTCATCTTATGCATTCTGCATTTCTTTGCCAATCTTGTAGCTGAGGATCTTGTTCCAATCAATTTTAGTGCGTGTAACTGGCAACTGTCGACGTAAGGCTTTGAAAGTTGTGTCCGACATTGTCTGATAATTCTCGCTGATGGCAGTCTATGAAAAAAAGTGGTTAAAGGTTAAAGAAATTAAAGGAACAGAACAATTTATAAAACACATATGTGTTTTAGGAAAAAACATTGTTATAGCAGCCTGCTTCATTGCTTTTAAAAGTCAAATAAAATCCCAATATGTTTTAAAAAGCTGTTTAAAAGCAGCTAAAAGAAAATGCTCGTCATTTTGAATAATTAAATCAAATGAAATGAAATTATAAATGAGTTAACACATCGCTTCTCGACCTTTTGGCTAAGATTAATTGTATAAATGAGTTAACATCTGAGCATTCTAACTTTGGATCTATTTTACTATTATTCATTCAGAACAATTTCGTAAATTACTCTTTATAAGGAATGAAAACCTGTCTAATCGACAAATGTTTATGTTCAATGTAAAAAGAATACAAAATGAAATACACAATCCATATTCTTTGGGAAACATTTCCTAAATAAAAATTTCCAATCAGAAACAATCATTTAAAACCTTGGAAATTTTGAATAATACTCGAGTTTTGCTACACTTAAGTTTGCCCTTGAAGTAAAAACAAACAAAAAACACACAAAAAGACTACATCTTACTACAGTGAAATACTGAAAAAAATTCAGGCTTATGACTAAAATTAAATTTTTCAGTACTGTTATTTATAATATAGATAAAAGAATTTTGAAGATCATATACCTGGTATTCATTTTCTGCAGCTTCTACAATCTTTATAAATTCTTTTGCTGTTTGCACCTCATTCTGAATAAAAACAAAACCAAAAGTGAATAAAATATTAATTTAAAACTATACCACTATTATTTTTAAATAGATAGTTAAAAATGTTATAATTTAATAACCAATAGAAATTGTAATAAAGGGAAAATACTGTAAAAGAATTATTCTAAGTCCAAGGGGAACTATGAAAAAAAAAAAATTGAAGTTTATAGAATGAGGCTGGTCTCAGAGTTTCACTGGTTAAAGAAAGAAAAAATTTTAAGAATATACTTTGCTGAAAAATGCAATTATAACACTTGACATGTATTCTATTAGATAATCTTTATAGGTAAGAAGTCAGATTCCTATTAATGATTATATCTAAATATCATTCTATAAATAATAATACCAATATTACCAATTAGGAAGAGCATATTTTAAAGTTTAAGGTAAATTTATTGTATTATATTGTTGAAATATATTCCAGAATTCTTTAAACTTTCTAATGCATGGCCTTCTTTGATTTTATTTATTTATTTATTTTTTGCTAAGAGTAATGTTAATGGAAATCTAGACTTTTGTATAGAACAATGTTAAAATTCTCAAAATACCTTACTATATCATTTATGGTTGACCTTTGAACATATGGGTATAAACTGTAGGAGTCCACTTTTCTATTTTATTTTTTTAAATATATTTTATTGATTTTTTTACAGAAAGGAAGGGAGAGGGATAAAAAGAAACATTGATCAGCTGCTTCCTGAATACCCCTCACTGGGGATGTACCCACAACCAAGGTACATGCCCTTGACCGGAATCGAACCTGGGACCTTTCAGTCCACAGGCTGAAGCTCTATCCACTGAGCGAAACGGGTTTTGGCAGGAGCCTACTTTTGTAATATTTGAATTTTTTCAATAAGTACACACAGTACTGTAAATATATTTTTCTTATGATTTTCTTAATAACATTTTTTTCTCTAGCTTACTTTATTATAAGAATACTTTATATGATACATATAACATATAAAATGTGTTAATTGACTGTTATTGGTAAGGCTTATGGTCAACAGTAGACAATTAGTGAAGTTTTGGGGGAAGTCAAAAGATATATGCAGATTTTCAACTATGAAGAAAGTTGGTACTCCTAATCCCCATATTGTTTAAGGATTAATTTATATATATTTACAAATATACATTTATATAATAGTGTACATTTTTCTCTCTCCAAAAACAATGAAACAATGAAAGCCTATAAGATAAAGTGAGAAACACATTCCTAAAAAAAACTCAGCACAAATTGACATATTAGTAGTTAATTTTAATTACTATAATAATCATCTCTCACAACACCACAGTCTATAATTTTTGTAGACAATTTCTCTTTTTTGTTACTCCTCACCCGAGGATATTTTTCCATTGATTTTTAGAGAGAATGGAAGGGAGGGGGAGAGATAGAAACATTGATGGGTTGCCTCCCACATGAACTCCACCAGGGCCAGGGATTGAGCCTGCAACAGAGATATGTGCCCTTGACCGGAATCGACCCTGGACTCTATCCACTGATCCAAATTGGACAGAGCAACAAATGTCTCGTAAGAAGGATCTTTACCGATGTCAAGCAACTCAAAGAAGATAATAACTAAATACTCTGTTTATGCATGTTCATGATATAGAACTATACCGAACACAATGTCTCATGGAGAACTAGATATTAGCAAATTTTGCAAGAAAAGTACCACTTAGTACAACACAGATGCCTCTGTGAGAATGTCACAGTAATGTTATATTATTAATATCCTTGGGGCAATGAAAATCCACGAAGAAATAGATGCACGTGCAAAAGTTTGAAAAAACTTTTCAGGGAAATAAAACCAAGTTCAAAATTTCTCAAATTTGAAAGCTGAACTTTAAAAAACTTCATTAAATTACAATCCTAATAAGAAAGAAAAAAAAGCATACAACACAAACATAAAGGATAAGTACAGGATCAGAGATGTAAATTTAAGAGCTAAAACTATAAAATTCATAGAAAAACACTCAAGGAAAATCTTCATGACTGTGGATTAGGCAATGGTTTCTATTAATAGACCAAAGAACAAGCAACAAAAGAAACTAACGGACTACATCAAAACTGAAATTTTGCCCAGGCCGGAGTGGCTCCACGGTTAGCGCACTGGTCCGTGGAGTGAAAGGTCATGGGTTTGATACCTGGTAAAGGGCATGTACCTTGGTTTCAGGTCTATCAAAGTGCCTCTCTTAATGGATGTTTCTCTATTTTTCCTTTCCTCTCTCTCTCCCTTCTACTCTCTCTGAAAATCAATGGGAAAAATATATCCTTGGGTGAGGATTAATAAAACAAAACAAAACAAAACAAAACAAAATGAAATATTCTGTTCTGCAGAAGATACTATCAAGAAAATGAAAAAATACATAAAATGGAAGGTAAAATTTGCAAATCATATTTCTGATGAAAGATTTGTATCCAGAATATATAATCTACAACTCAAGAATAAAACACAAATAACCAATTAAGAATCTGAATGGATATTTTTAATACATAAGTGACCAATAAATATATGAAAAGATGCTCATCATCATTATCCATCAGGAATTATGTAAATAAAAACCACGAGATACCATTTCATACTAACTAGGATGGCTATAACCAAAAGGACAGACATAAGTTTTGGCGAAGATGTGGAAAAATTGAAACCCTCATATATGACTGATGGAAATGTAAAATAATGCACCACTGTGGAAACAGCCTGGCAGTTTTTCAAAAGGTTAATCCCCTATGACCCTGCAATTCCACTGCCACATATATATCAAAGAGAAATTATAACAAATGTCTGCACAAAAATTTTACACGAAAGGTCATAGCAGCAAAAAGTAGAAAACACAAATGTTCAGCAAATAGTAAGAGAATAAAATGTGGTATATGAAATATTACTTAGCAATGAAAAAGGACGAAATATTAATATTTGCTCCAATGTGAATGAACCCTGAAAACATGCTAAGTAAAAAAGCCAGTCATAAAAGACCACATATCGATATTACAGGATTCCATTTATTTGACAGGTCAAGAATAGTCAGAAAATCAGATTCATGGTTATCTAGCCCCGAGAGTGATTTGATAGGGCTGGTGGGAGTGAAGAGGGGAGGATGGAGAGTGATTGATAATGGGTACTGGATTTTTAGAGGACAAAAATGTTCTAAATTAGACTGTGTTGATTATTACATAATCCTGTTAACGTACTAAAGAACACTGAAATTTATACTCTAACAAGGTGAATGGCATGTGAATTGTATCTCAATAAAGCTGCTAAAAAAAGTTAGGGACTAATATCCATTATTTACCATCTTTAATCTACCTGAAAACACTTTATCTGAAGCAGAAATATTGCTTGAATGGTTCTTCCAAAACTATTCCAGTTTTACAAAGGATTAGGTTGTTTACATTTTATTTTAGAATTAATTACTTACAGACACTGTTAGGGAATCTTGTATGTCTTTATGACTCACTAGCTGAACATTACCATCTTCATAATAATGAACCTATAAAAAGAAGAAATTGCAGAAACATATTATAGGCAGGAACAATCATGATCCTCACAGCTTTGACAATCACATCATTGTACTTGACTATCAATTTAAGCTGTAACCTAAACTTCTCTGATGAACTCCTGACTTTTCAAACCCCAGCAACACTTCCTGACCTCAGTCTAGTGAGAAAACTAGTTAGCAGTTCCTGCAATTCCTCAGGCAAGCCATCCACTGATCTGACTGCTGGACATTTTTACCTCATAAATATTCTACTGATAGCTAAACTCAAGGTTTCCAAAAGTGAGCTCACAATACTACCCCCCAACATTGCTCCTCTTTTGTGTATTTCTATCAATCATTTAATTCCTCAAATTCAAAGACATTAGTTTATTAATAAAACATTAATTAGTGATTACTAAATGTACCTATTAGGTCTAGTAATAATTAATGTCGTTTAATACTTTTTTAAATCGAATTTATTTAAATAATACAACAAAATTTAATCAACAATATAGTTGCCGTTGTTTTCTACTACTTGTGCCCAACACTCAGGAAGCATTTTAATCCCTCTGTTGTAAAATTCTTGTGATTTTGATGCAAAAAATTCGGTCAATGCATTTTTGAGGCATTCTTCATTATTAAATTTTTTTCCAAGAAGAAAGTTTTGCAAAGAACGAAACAAATGGTAATCGGAAGGGGCAATATCAGGAGAATATGCAGGTTGAGGGAGAACTTCCCATTCCAACTGGCGCAGTTTTTCAGCAGTGATTCTTGCAGTATGCGGTTGTGCGTTATCGTGGCGAAGAATTACGCCCTTCCGATTAATCAGCGCGGGTTCTTTTTCTCTTAAAGCTTGGGCTAACCTTTCCAATTGGGCACTATACACTGCACTTGTAATGGTTTGGTTAGATGGTAAAAGTTCATAATGAAGAATTCCTTTAAAATTCCACCAAACACACAACATCACTTTTTTCGCATGCAAGTCAGGTTTTGGCGTGGGCTGCGGAGCCTCATTTTTGTCCAACCATTGAGGCCGCCTTTTCAAATTAACATACAGCACCCATTTTTCATCTCCGGTAACAATTTGCTCTAAAAACGGCAAACGGTTTTGACAAGAGAGGAGCGAACTGCAAATTGTGACTCTTTGATTACGGTTGTTGTCGGTCAACTCATGAGGAACCCATTTTCCAAACTTTTGGACTTTGCCAAGTGCTCGCAATTGATTGGAAATTGTTTTTTGTGAACAATTTAAAGTTGTCGCAAGCTCTTGTTGGGTAATTTGAGGATTTTGCACCAAAAGAGCTTGAAGAGCTTCTTGATCAAAATTGGACACACGGCCTCCACCACTCTTGTCATCTAACGAAAAATTTCCCTCGCGAAATTTCTCAAACCAACGCTGGCATTTTCTGGCGCTAACTGCATCTTGACCAAGAGCACTACAGATGTTTTTTGCAGCCTCACTTGCTTTTCTTCCTAATTGGAACTCCTAAAGCATGCAGTGCCGAATATGCTCTTCATCCGCCATCTTCTTAGCCCTAGTTTTGCAACAAAAACCAAACCAAACACAAACTTTTTCAAGCAAAACTTGTTAATTGCACTTCGCACGTTCTGTAGATACCACGAGTTTGAAGGTTATGTCAATACAAGTCAACGCCAAGCAAGATTTTAAACGAATGTTTAAAAACGACATTAAATATTACTAGACCCGATATTAAGAAGGTTCTAGGGACACATAGCTTTAAAAAAAAAAAAAAATAGTCTCTGACCTCAGATTTCAACACAACATATCAGGTATGTAAAAAAGTAAATTAGTAATACTCCAGATTGTCTCTAAGCATTAAAAAAAAAAAAAAAAATAGGATTTCAGAAAAAGGTAACACTGCACTGGGTTTAGCAAAATGACTGACAAATCAGGGAAAATAAGGAAACCGAGCTTAGAGAACACATACTTTACTAGGTGTACTGGTTAATATTAGCAGATTTTGTAATAAAAAAACACGTTAATTTCAAGAGAAACATCAAAAGTGCTTTAAATTTTCCACTTCTTAAAATGTTTTGAAGTGCTGCTCAGAAAGTGTGTGTGCCATCAATCGGAACAAGTGGTTATCTGAAGGAGCAAGATCTGCCGAAGCCAGTTTGGCTCAGTGGTAGAGCGTCGGTCTGCGGACTGAAAGGTCCCAGGTTAGATTCCGTCAACGGCATGTACCTTGGTTGCAGGCACATCCCCGGTAGGTGTGCAAAAAGCAGCTGGTCGATGTTTCTCTTTCGACGTTTCTAGCTCTCTATCTCTCTCCCTTTCTCTCTGTTAAAAATCAATAAAATTGAAGGAGCAAGATCTGGTGAATACAATGGGTGGGTTAATACTTTCCAGGCAAGATCTTTCAATGTGTCTTTAACTCGTTTTGAAGTATGTGATGGTGCATCATCATGAAGCAAAATTACTTTGCTGTGTCTTCTGACACATTCTGGTCGTTTCATGATCAAATTGTGGTTCAAATTGATTATTTGTTGTCAGCAGCAATCAGTATTAACGGTTTCACCTAGTTTTAGAAGCTCATAATACACCACACCTTCCTGATCCCACCAAACACAGAGCACTGTCTTCTTTCCATAGCAATCTGGCCTTGCAGTCCATGTTGATGGTTGACCTGGATCAACACATGATTTTGTGTGTTTGGGATTTTTAAAATAAATCCACTTTTCATAGCCAATCACAATTTGATGAAAAAAAAAAGACTTTCTTTTGTGCCGTTGAAGCAACATTTTACTGATGACTTTTCAGTTTTCCATTTGTCTTTTGTTCAGTTGATATGGCACCCATTTTCCTTCCTTTAAAATCTTTTCCATTGCTTGAAAATGATTGGTAATTGTTTGTTGAGCAACGTGTAATCTTTCTGCAAGTTATTTCTGAGTTTGACATGCATCTTCATCCAATAATGCTTGTAACTGTTGGTCTTCCAACCTTTTCAGTTTACCTGGACGCTTTTGTCTTTCAAAATCATCGAAATCATCATTTTTAAAGTGTTTAAGCCAGCGTTCACAAGTATCTTGAGATGGAGAATGTTCACCATAAGCTTCCCAAAGTATTCAGCAGCACTTTTCTTCAAAATAATGAATTAAAACTTCACACAAATGTTATTTTTCTGGCACAAAATTCAACATTTTTAAGTGTAAAAATACCTATGATGTTAACGCCTTCAGCAAATTTGACATATAAAGTTTTGAAGCTTGTTGTCAATACAACAAAATAGCATACACATCAAATTGCATATATATTAACATATGTGTAACTCCATCTATTGAAAAAAATCTGATTAACAGGTACACCTAGTATATATAATAGAAAGGGTTGGAGGTACTTATGGATAGATTTTGTGTGAAGTCATGGAGGAAGAGGAGTGGCTGGAGATATAAGTAGGGAACAAGTCAACTTTGGGCCTTGAACGCTACATAAAAATGTCTAGACTATCTAGTAGGTGAGAGTATAATGCTAAAATGTTTGTAAGCAAGCAAGCAACATATCCAGATTTAAATTTCAAAAATCATCTCTTTTGATGGCAGTGTGAAAAATAGATTAGGAAATGGCAAAAGGTCCAGCAATTCAACAAAAATAAAAAAAAGATGCTTATATGAGCAAATTATTTAAAGAACAAACTGAGTGACAGCACTTAATTTTAACTGTGTTTTGAAAATCTGTCAGTTATCCTTGCAATTCTTGATGACTATAGAGGATGCATTGTAACATTATTTAAAAGATGAAATCAGCACTACTTGTTTTTCCAATTTCCTCAACATAAGGATCTGAAGAAGAAATGGATTATTTTATATTATAAAAATGTAAACTTATGAATCATTGTTTTTCTATTCAAAGATCACTAAACAAATTCTTTTTATTTCATACCTGAATTTTCAAGATGCCAACCACTTGAGTGGTTGAAGGAGTGATTGTAAACTTCCACTCTGACCTCCAACGACCATTCCTTAAAAATAAAAACAGCAGCTGTAAATAGGTAGGGAAAATAAATTTTAAGTGACAGATTTAAATTGAATGTTACAGCCTGGCCAACATGGGTCAGTGGTTGAGCATTAACCTATGAACCAGGGGGTCATGGTTTGATTTCTTGGGCTCAATCCCCAATATTGGCGCATGCAGGGAGCAGCTGTTCAATGATTCTCTGTCATCACTGAAATTTCTCTTTCTCCCTTCCTCTCTGAAATCTATTTAAAAACATTTTTCAAAAATTTAATGTTATAGCATGAGAGAATGTGGGGGATGAATGCTGGATATTCATTAAACTAAAACATATAAGCTACTTAAAAAAAAATTAAGCTACTTCTTCAATGGACTCGCTTATGTTTTAATTAAGAATAAATAAATGTTCAGGTTATCAGGAGCTTTTGCAAATCAATACAGTTTAACATCCACTGAGAGATATAAAATACCAAATAATTTAAAAAGAAAGGAGAGTAGTACACAATTTTTTTAACTGATTTATTTTATTTTATTTTAGAGTTTTTTTTATAGCAAGAAAGGGACAGGGAGAGGGAGAGAGACATGAAAAGAGAGTAAAACATCGAACACCTGCCTCCTGCACACCCCCTACTGGGGATTAAGTCTGTAACCTGGGCATATGCCCTGCCTAGCAGCAACCTTTCATGGCAATGAGATGATACCTAACCAACTGAACCACACTGGCCAGGGCAGTAATACAACATTCTTAAAGAGGTTTTGATATCTAGAAAGAGAAGGGCTATAAAGAATTATATTTCTTTGCACCTAATATTTATATTTTAATGAGATTCTTGTGATATGTGGTGTTTAGAACTTTGGAATATCATACAAAACTTGTCTTTTCCAAAAATTGGAAATCATTTTTAACTGCAATGATACAGTATTTTTAGTGGTAGTTTAGGAAAAAAATTCATCAGATATATAAAATAAAATAGTGAGAACAGAAAACTCAAGGACAAACATTATCTTTATTTTACATATGCTAGAGTTCAAATAAATTATATTTTTGAAAACTAATTAGTAAATTGACTATAAAAAACTTAAAGGTAAAACTTAGTAGCAAAAATTTTCTTGTAAGTAGTTGAGATTCAACAAGATTGATTTTATTAACATATCCTAACAAATAGTATAAATTAATAGTGATTTTATGAAGATTTATTTATTTAGAATTCTGGTAGATTAATGCTACAGGTTTTTAAGACTGAAATGGAGAAATCTTTTTTTTTTTTTTTTTAATTTGTCTGTATTTGCCACAACCTTTTAAAGCACAATATGACTGGAGCACATTTCTATTCACAAAACTTGCTTTGAGTTACTTTCAAATGGCTTTACAACATGCCTAGATCGGCTTATAATTCTGCTCACTAAACTCCTTTTCTTTGGAGCCAGACCCTATGGGTAATTACTCCCATCAGGCTGGTCAGCTTATCATACTAATTTCTAGAGGCTGTAAATGCAGTTGATAACGACAGGGATGCTTAAAAAGTAGATCCGAGGGGATGAAAGTTGTCTTAACCATGTATCTCAGAACACTTTAGCAACAAAACATTTGGTCTACTTAGGCACCCGCTTGAGAGATAACACTTAGACCACAAAGCTAACATTAGCCTACACACACGTATCTTACAACAAACATAACCCCATTCTGTTAAAATAGGCCAACATGGATCTAGGAAAGAAAAATGAGCTCTTCTTTAGGTGCCTGTAGTATCAATCTCATACACTTAGAGGTGGAAAGAAACATGGTCTTCCCTTTAAGTAGTTGTCATGCCATACATACTTTTAAAATGTTAACCAAAATTTTTTTTAAAGTCCTTGAAAATATAAAAATGAAGAAATCTTTAAGTGACTGTAGCTTGTTTACATGTGAAATTGATTTTCCTTTAGGGATAATGTATTTGCATTCCTTCAAATGTTCTTGGTTAACTTTGTAACTTTGCATTTATATTTCTGAGATGGTTAAATAGTGGAGCAAGTTTGGGAAAGAGACCAAACTGGTCCATAGGGAGCACCACCAGCCAACCTGGCTAACACATCAAAGAATAATATACTTACTTAAAAGGTAGATGCTATGACCATACTTACTCTGATGAGAATAGTATGAATTAACTAAAAAGGGGTATAATAAAGATAAAGACTTCATTTAATTCTAAATTTATAGTCTTAAAGAGCTTCAAAAATTTTAACAGAAGGTATCTCCGAAAGTATTATTTAAGATTAAAAAGGCATACCAACTTGTCAAAGATGAAAGATTGATAGGGCAAGTCAGTGCTTTGGGGGACTAGACTTTAACTGTAAGTAATCAAACGACTTGTAAAAAAAATTATAAGGCATGACTGTAATTTGCTCCACTGAATAAAATATACCATTACTTCCTCACATTGGCTAACTGGGGACAAGGCAATCCATGAGAAAATATCTACTTCAGAGTCTGTAAAGTTCACACACCAAATAAATCCTAATTCTTCACCTCTGCCCTCTCCCCTTATATAGGTCTCATTCAGAAACAACCCCTTCTCAAAATGAGCATATGGGCCTCCAACTGGTCTGCTCAAAGGCACACATGTTCCCTAGGATGCTGCTTGCTAGTCTCCAAAAACACGGGACACTCTCCCACACTCTTTTCACTGACAATGGGTTTACTGCTTCTTTTAAATAATTAGGCTGATTATAGAGCACTGTTTTTGTATCAAAAGGCTGAAGGTTTCCCCCCCAATTTTATCTTGTATTGGTTTCAGGTGTACAGCTTAGTGGTTAGACAATCATATACATTACAAAATGTTCCTCTCGGTATTTCCAGTACCCCAAATGGGAGTATAGTTATCACAATACTGATATTATTTATATATTCCCTATGCTTTACTTACAACAATTGTAATTACGAATTTGCATTTGTTAATCCCTTCACCTCTCTCACCCAGTCCTCCAAACCTTTCTCTTCTGAAAACCACCAGTTTGCTCTGTGCCTATGAGTCCATTTCAATTTTATTTATTTTGTTCTTCAGATTTCATATACAAGTGAAATCACAGGCATTTGTTTTTCTCTGACTGCTATTGCTCTGAGCATAATATGCTCCATGTGCACCCATGCTATTGCAAACGGTAAGATTTCATTCTTTTTTTATGGCCGAGTAATATTCTATTGTATATATGTACACTTCTTTATCCAATCATTTGTTAATGGGCAACTGAGCCTCCATATCTTAACTGTTGTAAATAATACTGCAATAAACATAGGGATGCATACATTATTTCAAATTACTGTAATGTTTTGGGTTTTTAAGATATACTAGAGGCCCGGTGCATGAAATTCATGCACAGGGGTGTGTGTTCTTCAGCCCAGCCTGCGCCCTCTCAAATCTGGGACATCCCTCTCACAATCCAACTCTGCTGGCTCCCAACTCCTCACCTGCCTACCTTGATGATTGTCCCTAACCACTTCTGCCTGCCAGCCTGATTACCCTCTAACCACTGCCCTGCCAGCCTGATTGATACCTAACTGCTCCCCTGCCAGCCTGTTTGCCCCTAACTGCCCTCCCCTGCAGGCCTGGTCAGCCCTAACTGCCCTTCCCTGCAGGCCCGGTTGCTCCCAACTTCCCTCCTCTGCCAGCCTGGTCATCCCTAACTGTCCTTCCCTGCAGGTTTGATCACCTCAATGGCCCTCCCCTGCTGGCCATCTTGTGGCGGCCATCTTGTATCTATCTTGTGGCAGCCATTTTTGACAACATGGGGGCAGCTATCTTGTGTGTTGCAATGATGGTCAATTTGCACATTACTCTTTTATTAGATAGGATACCCAGAAGTGGAATCTCTGGGTCATAAAAAGGCTGAAGTTTTATATTATGTTTAGATTGCTCTTAGTCAATCATACAAGCAAGGTATAGGCCCAATCAATAAAGCAAGAACCTTTTACAAAGAATATAAACAATGTCAAAATTCTGTAATGCACCAAAATTTTAACTTACCAAAAGTTTTTTGCTTGGAACTGATGGCTTTCTATGCATGCAATAATGGTTTGCTGTCCATCTATTTTTTTACCATATACCTTGATGCAAAGAAAACAAACAAAAGAGTGAATTTAGGGCCACAGAAAGTTCAATTTTAAACATCTACAAAATACTAAAAAATGTGTCTTTGGCAGGAACATAATACTCAAATATGAACACTTAATCACAGAGTCTTTGTGGATCATAAAAGTACTCACAATTAATAACATTGGAATTTACTGGGTTAAAAACTGACTGTACTCTAAAGTAGTCATAAACATTCTAGATATACTATATTTTTTATTCCAAACACAAATATCAGGAGAAGCATGAACATGCAGATATCAATATGGCTGTTTTCATACAAAAACTAGACCTAGATTGTGATTAACATCTTTGTTTACTTCACAATCTCAGGGATTATAATTTCTCTAGTCATTTAAAAAAGTATCCAGGAAGAGATAAGAAATTTACTTATAACTAAGGAAGACTGTTAGGATAGTATGAAGACGTTATGTTACCTCTTGCATACTGCTTTAGAAGTAATGTTTAAATCATGCTTTTTAATCCCCGAGGACAAATGAAGACTCTCTAATTCAACTCTCTCATGTTAAATTTAACCACCTTATTTTTGGGTTATTCTTCCAAAATAATTCTAATCTACAAGGTTCCTTCCAAAATAATCTACAAGGTTTCTTCCAAAATAATTCTAATCTAATCTCAAAAACCATATAAGATATTTTAGGTTAGGCTATATTTCTCAAATAATTATTGAGCACTAGAAACTTAAGGGGACCATATGAATTTTTGTCTTAACCAGGAAACTTCTGAGAGTGAAACAGAGTTCTCTTAGTAATATTAATAATTATGTTGAGACAGTAGGTATAAACCAAGATACACGGTCACTTTAGGTTGGGAAGATAGGCAGAGGCCAGATCTATAGGGCCTTGAAAGTCATGTTCAGAAGCCCAGATTCTATCCTAAGTGCAATGGAAAAGTAATGATTTTAAATAGGGAATTTTCATTTCAAAAGATCACTCTGACTATGGAAATTACAGAAGCACAAACTCACTGTGGAAGACTAAAAAGCCTATCTCGGTACAAACAATCTTATGAAAAGAGAGAAAGAAAAAAAAGCCCTCCTAATTTCTACCTTATTTCATCCTGAAAATATAGAGATAGCTTAAACATATGAAAGGGCATTATAAAATTATTTTAAAAGACATGAGGACATAATTCCACTTCAAATAATTTTATTTGTTGTAAGATTTTGTAATTTAATAAAAAGATTGATAAAAACTTATTGAGGTGAATCATGAATATGAGATTAAAGAATCTCATGATAACTGTGCTCCTCTAATCAATATATGGGAATTCCTACTTGAATTTAATTCAAGGCACAGCATTTTTCCACTCTGGGCTATCATAATATACTAGAGGCCCATTGCACCAAGATTCATGTAATAGGCCTTCCTTCCCCTGGCTGCTGGCACCGGTTTTCCTCCAGTACCTGGGACCTCGAGGCTAGGCTTCTCCATTCTGGCCCCAGCAAGGCTTGGTCACAGAGGAGAAGCCAAGTCTCTTCAGTCTTCGCTTGGGCTGGAGCCTTTAGTCTTTGCTCTGTGCCTGCGTATGCAAATTAACACACCATTTTTGACCAGTTATTTTGCATACATGCTCCTGATTAGGTGGTGAGTATTGTGGAGGTATGGCTGATTTGCATCTTTTTCTTTTATTAGTGTAGATTTCTTTTTTTTTAATATATATTTTATTGATTTTTTTTTAAAGAGAGGAAGGGAAAGGAATAGAGTTAGAAACATGGATGGGAGAGAGGCATCAATCAGCTGCCTCCTGCACAACTCCCACTGGGGATGTACCTACAACAAAGGTACATGCCCTTGAACCTGTGACCCTTGAGTCCACAGGCTGATGCTCTATCCACTGAGCCAAACCGGTTAGGGCACTATTTAGAATTTCTTGAACATTAGTGAACATTCTTGAAAATATTTACTTTAAGAAAAAGAAAAGAATGATGAGTTCTATAAGTTACTGTAAAATTCAAGAGACCAAAAAAACACTGTCAAAAGAAAACAAAAATGGTGACTTTCACTGATGACTTACAGTGCAGACCCCATTCGGATAATGTTCTTTTACATAAGCTCGCAGGGCAGTTTCTACTGAAGTTCTCCATGATTCAATTGCATTCTCTGCTTCATACGGTCTTGGATCAGTCGCTTCCTTTCTTAAGTGATCAAATTTGAAACAGATTCTATTTTTTGGATCCAAAAACTTTCCATTTCCCACATCGCCATGTTCTGTTATCAATACCTTCAGTGATACAATATTAGGGAAAAATTATTTAGCATTTAAGGGTTCAATGGGAAAAAAGGGGGACATCTGTAATATTTCAACAATAAAAATTTAAAAATACCATTTAAGTACTGACATATATTAAAAACATTCACTTAAGCTTTCCCCTTAAAACTATAAAATAGATCTACTCCAAACAACTGATTTAACTACATGGCACAATTATTTCAAATGAGTAGACTTTTATAAAGACAATGAGGCTACTCTCATTCATCTTGGATCAGTGAATCTGATTTAAAAACTTCTAGCTCCCAGTTTAAAAAAAAAATGTATTCTTGTAATAATTGTTGGAGTCAGGTTCTTTTCAGATCCACGAACAGCTTACTATTTCTATTATCATTCTCCAATTCCTCAAATCTAAGGAAGTGATAAGAAGTAACCTTTGATGAGGATATTTACAAGAATAATTTTAATCCAGTGAAACTCCTCTTCAGTGTGTTGTACATTGTTCTTGGGCCACAATTTCATCTTCTGTGAAGTGCCTCCCTCTTGTTTCTATACACTTAATCATTGACAGTTATTTTCAATGGACTCCAAATTTTTAAATGTATTTTATTTATCTATATTTATATTACACATGCATAAATGAGAAATTTTCTGCTTTATTTAAAAAATTTCCCTCACAAGTCTCCCAATTTTTAATTCCATATCTACATCAGAACTTCCCCATTTCTCTGATATAAATCATGAAAACATAGAATGAATCCTTCTAAACTTCATTCATTCAGCCATACAGTATATAAATATATACATATCTATGTATACATACAAATGCATACAGGATTTACTTTGGTCATTGTTTTATATGAATAGAATAAAATATATGCTCACATACATTTTTCTGTACCTGACTTTATTCAACATGACTACCTTATGGAAATTCTTCAAAGTAAACTGGTATACCTCACCATTCTTTTTAATGGTTGCATAATATCCCAGGATGTGGATATAACAATTTATTCTGCCATTCTACTATTAATGGGCCAAGTCTTTATTTCCAAGCTGTTTTCTTTTTTGGGGGAAGTGAAGGGACATTAAAAATCTTGAATAAGTATTACCATAAATATATTGTTACACACTGATATTTTTACTTCCACTAGATGCTTCTATTTCTCTTGGATAGATCCCAACAGTGGGAATAGAGTGAAAGGTGTTTCTGTGTGTGTGTGTGTGTGTGTGTGTGTGTGTGTGTGTGTATGCGTGTGGTTTTTTTTTTAATGACTGTAACAAATCACATTTTTATGAATAATATTAGAGACCTGGTGCATGAAATTCGGGCATGGGTGTGTGTGTGTCCCTCAGCCCAGCCTGCACCCTCTCCAATCTGGGACCTCTTGAGGGATGTCCGACTGCCCATTTAGGCCCGATCCCACCACCAGAATTGAGCCTAAACTGGCAGTCAGACATCCCTTTCACAATCCAGGACTGCTCCCCTGCCAGCCTTTTTGCCCCTAACTGCCCTCCCTTGCAGGCCTGGTCTCCCCCAATTATTCTCCCCTGCAGGCCTGGGTCCCCCCCCAACTGCCCTTCCCTGCAGGCCTGGTCACCCCTAACTGCTCTCTCCCTTTTAGGCTTGATCGCTTCCAACTGCCTTCCCTTGCAAGCCTGGTCCCTCTCAACTGTCCTCCCCTGCTGGCCATCTTGTGTCCACATGCCATCTTTGACCATATAGGGGCAGCCATCTTTTGTGTTAAAAAGACAATTTGCATATTACTTTTTTATTGATTAGGATATGAGATATGTTTCCCTTCATATTATCATAATCAGTAGGCATACAGTTCTTTTATTTTTCAGTTTGATGGGTAGAAAATATCTCTCTTACTTTATTTGACTCCTGACAAGTCTAGACATCTTTTGACATTTAGTGGGGCCATTTGCTCTTATGTAAGCAAATATCCTTTAATACTTCTTTTTTCTTATTAATTTATAGATGTGCTTTTTAAAAGGTATCTGTTTCATTCTATGGTTAAAATAATTATTATCAGCAAAATGCCCATCTTCTCTTCTATAGTTTATGGGTTTTCAGTTTTAAGACTAGAGGTGAGGGGTCCCTCAGCCTGGCCTGCGCCCTCTTGCAGTCCAGGATCCCCTTAGGGGTCCTTAGCGCTGCTGCGGAGGCGGGAGAGGCCACTGAGCTTGCCAGCTGAGCCCAGATTCTGGCTGAGTGGCGCTCCTCCTGCATTGAGCGTCTGTTCCCTGGTGGTCAGTGCACATCATAGCAACCATTGGTTCCACCAGTTGATCAATTTGCACATTAGGGCTTTATTATATAGAATGGATGGTCTTCCCTGTCCCTATCTTGAACATGTTTTTAAAATTTTAGTAATTTTACACATTAAAAGCTTTGGGTTACTATAGGATTAAGCTTTTGCTCTAAAAACAAAAAAATAGATTTAGAACAATTATTTTCTAAAATCTTAGGACCATTTTTTTTTTATATCATTTCACAATTCTTACAGGATATTAACCATTGTAAATGAAACAATGAACAGCCAGATCACATGTTTATATGAAACATACCTGATCTTCATAACCTTCAATTTTTACTGGAGTAAACTGGTCCAAGTTATACTGTGCAAATGCACTAAAAAAGAAACAGGTCAATTACTTAAAATTACTTATTTAATACCCCTTTAAAAAATCCCAGTCAGACAATTCACCTGTCAACAAAAGTCACATGGCATGTCAAATGAAATTATAATTCCATTATTAATATATAATTTTTTATTATAATCTCTGAATGCATAATAATCTGGACACTCAGTGTATATCCTATAAATAAAAAGCTAATATGCAAATTGTCCCCTTGACCAGGAGTTCAACTAGCAGACAGGCTGGCTGGGCTCCACCCATGCATGAATTCATGCACTGGGCCTCTAAAATACACACACACAAACACACACACAGTGGCCAGATTATTATGCGTTCATATATTAGAGGCCCTGTGCACGAAAATTTGTGCTCTAGGGGGTAAGAGGGGGGGGTTTCTTAGACCAGCCTGTCCCCTCTCACAGTCTGGGAGCCTTTAGGTGATGTCCACCTGATAGTTTAGGTCTAATCTACAGTCTGGCCTCCCTCTGCGGGAGGCAACCAGGAAGATCAGGGAAGACGCCACCCCCATCACCACCCTGTTGCTGACACTGACAGCCGCCACAGCTGCCAGCCCTCCTCGGCCCTCGCAGCCACTTCGGCTTTGTCCAAAAGATGTCCGGTCTATCAAGTCTAATTAGCATATTATCCTTTTTTTAAAAAATTATTTTATTGATTTTTTAGAGAAAGGAAGAGAGAGGAATAGAGAGTTAGAAACATCGATGAGAGAGAATCATCAATCAGCTACCTCTTGCACACCCCTTACTGGGAATGTGCCTGCAACCAAGGTACATGCCCTTGACTGGAATTGAACCTGGGACTTTTCAGTCCGCAGGCCGACGCTCTATCCACTGAGCCAAACCAGTTTTAGCAGCAAATACACACATTTGTTAATCCTCAACCAAGAATATTTTCCCATTGATTTTTTTAGAGAGGGTGAAAAGGAGGGGGAGTAACACAGACAAATACAGATGTGAGAGAGCTACAACTTAGGTTGCCTCCCATAGATGCCCGCCTGGGGCCAGAGATAGAGTCTGCAACCAAGGTACATGATTTTAACTGGAATTGAACCGAGGACCCTTCAGTCCATGGGTCGATGCTCTATCCACTGAGCCAAAGAGGCCAGTATATGATTTTATATTTTTTAAACTGATGAATGATATCCAGCTTTCAATGTTTAGCAAAAGAAAATTAAATCAGTTAACATAATTAGTCTTTTCATTCAAAATCCTGAAAATAAAGGTTAACCTTCTGTAAGATACATATACAATTAGTCAGGCATATATTTGGTATAAAACATACCAGGGAACAATGTAGGTGCTGTGAGAGAGTAAAGAGCAATTAGACTGATCATATAATAAAAGGTCTTACAGTTGAATAGGAGAGAGAATAGATAAACAAATGTAAGACAGAATAAAAAGCACATAAGACAATGACCAATAAAGCATTATGGAGAATATATATATTTTTAAATTACATTCTGCTGAATTAAGGGTAAGAAGGGGAAAAGTTAGGAGTCACTTTTAATGGATGTGATACTGAGAAATGGCTCTGAAATAAAAGATAGGCTCTCTGGTCTTAAAGAAATTGGAGGATAGGGGCGGGGAAGGGAAAGAATATTAGTATTTCAATGACAAGGACCAAGATGAGCAAAAGACACAATAGGTTAGGTTCAATATCACAGAAAGCACCAAGCTCAACACCCAGCACAATAGCAAGTATTTGGTTATATTTACTGAATTAAAAGGCTTGAATGATGGAATAATTACTTCATTTGGGAGGCAAAGAATAATCAGAGAAGTGTTTTGAGAAAGGATAACCTAGAACTACTACAAAAGATTAATTTGGCAGCAGTGTGTATGACAAATTGGACAGTGAAGCAATTACAGCAAGAACTGCAGAGAACTAGGAAATGTGATGAGAGATCTAATCTAATCTACTTGGAAGCTTTTTAGATTACTCTGGATGGCAAGACATCCACTGACTTTTCAGGTATTAGCAACTGAGTCTCCTCTAGAAAGGAATGTTTGGTTGACCAAAGCAACACTGATGAGTTAACAAGAGACTAGTAAATGTAAAAATAGCAAAGTAGAATTAAGTTACCGTAATAAATTCCCGACACTGTGTGTTCACAGAAGATGGGGATAAATATAGAGAAACACATGAAGGGAGGGGATAGTGAAAGAAGTACCTATTTACTTCTGATTTTCTTAATTCATGAAAATTCTAATTTTCCTGGGAATAGCCTCTATACAGCCAATCATGTAATAATCCTTAAAGGAATTTATCTCAAATGTATGTTTAAGATAACAAGAAACAAAGTATAGTCAAGCACCATGTAAGAATATTTCTGTCAATGGTGAATCATATATATGATGATGGGCCCATATTAAAATGGAGATGAAAATTTCCTATCACCCAGTGATATCATAACATTATGCAGTAATTCTGGTGTAAAACAAACCTACTGCACTCAAGTCTTATAAAAATGTAACATGTAGTATGTAAAGTACAGTACGTAATACTTTATAATGATAATAAACAACTGTTATTCATTTATGTATTTACTATGCTATACTTTTAGAGTGTACTCTTTCTACTTACAAAAAGTTTACTGTAAAACTGTGCTGTATTATGCAGCAGCCTCAGACATTTTGCTTTCACATCTCTTGATTGTTTCATTTCTCTTGTGCTTGATTTAATCGTGTTGTTTTGTGTAATAACATGCTGTACATGTTTGTAGCCTAGGAATAAGAGGTTATAGCATACTAGTGGCCAATGCAGGAAGATCCCTGCAATAGGGCTTCCTGCTGCGGTCTCTGCCCTGCCTGCTTTCCTCCCTTCTCCTCAGGCCCCGCCTGCTTTCTCCCTTCTCAGGGGCCCTGCTTGCTTCTCCACAGCTTCACTCCCTTCTGCAGGCTTGGCTTCTTTCTATGCTGTCTTGATATGCAAATTAACCACCATCTTGGTTGGGTTAATTTGTACACTCATCCTGATTGGCTGGTGGGCATGGCTTGTGTAGCAGAGTCATGGTTAATTTGCATATTACTCTATTATTATGTTAGATAGCCTATGTGTGTAAGTAGGCTAAACCACCTAGGCTTGTGTAAGTACAACTTTGTACGACAAAAATTGCCTAATGACACATTTCTCAGAACATGTCCCTGTTGCTAAGTGGCACATGTCTGTATTCTAAATCACTTAAAATTTAGGATTAATTTTCCAGTAAAAGGCATATTTAAATAATAAACTTGGACAATAATTTGGTCGTAAGCCTTTTACTAACCCATAATAAAAACGCCCATCTATTAATTCAGGAATCCTATATAATGAAAGAGGTAACATGCAAATTGATCATCACACCATCACAAGATGGTGGTGCACACAATGGGGTGAGGCCGACAGCTCTGTGTGCCTGCCGCCGGAGTCCCCTCAGCATCACTGGGGGGCAGCAGGCTCACAGAGTGGCCTCGGGTCCTCCTGCAATCCCAATTAACTGATAGCTCACTCAGGCTTCTCCAATGAGTGCCCATCCCTCTCTTCCTCCCTCCCCCGAAGCTGAAGCCTGACTGTGGCGTCCAACAAATTGGAAGTTATAACTCATGTCATTAAGATTATCTTCCATTCCTCAGCTGGGGTCACCGGCTCCACATGCCTGCCACTGGAATCCTCTTAACCCCACCAGGGGCCTCAGGTTCTCCTGAACCCCCCACTGACTGAGGCTCAGGCAAGCAGGGCCAGCCGAGGTGTTGGCAAGCCTCAGATGGTGGTTGCCCAGCTGCCCAGGGCTGGCCTAAGGCACAGGCAAGGCTTGGATGGCAGCTGCCCAGCCACTTAGGGCCGACCTGAGGCTCGGGTAACTAGGACTGGCCTAGGCTTGTGCTGCCAGCAGTGGCAGCAGCAGAGGTGTGATGGGGGCATCGCCTTCCCCTGATTGCCTGGGTCGCCCCCAACCCCTGAGAGCTCCTGGACTGTGAGAAGGGGCAGGCTGGGCTGAGAGAACCCCCTCCAATGCATGAATTTTCATGCACCAGACCTCTAGTAAGGGAATAATAGGGAATCTGAAAAGGAGACATTGAATATGAATAGATAAAATTTTAACTAAAATAGCCGAAACTGGTTTGGCTCAGTGGTAGAGCATCAGTCTGTGGACTGAAGGGTCCCAGGTTCGATTCCAGTCAAGGGCATGTACCTTGGTTGCGGGCACATACCCTGTAGGGAGTGTGCAAGAGGCAGCTGGTCGATGTTTCTCTCTCATCGACGTTTCTAGCTCTCTCTCTCTCCCTTCCTCTCTGTAAAATATCAATAAAATATGTTAAAAAAATTTTTTAACTAAAATAGTCAAAGCAAGTTAAAAAGGTGACAATTACACATACAGTTAAAAAGGCACTAACTCTGGAGTCACAATATAAAATACCTATGTTTTGTTTAAAATGTGTTACTAATATGGACCCCATTTACCTCATCTATAAAAAGAAGAGTTTGGGCTAAATGACTTCCAAGGTCCCTTCCAGTTTAGAAAACCTACTCTATCCACCCACTCATCATTCACTCACCCAACCCTCCATCTATGCAAATATTAAGATGTAAAGCACTCTGTTACAATAGACACAGTGAAACAATGATTTCTCTGCCCTTGTAGAGTTTTATAGTCCAATCATTCTTTTTTAAAAATCCTCACCCGAGGCTATTTCCCCCATTAATTTCTAGAGAGGGAGAGGGAGAGGGAGAGGGAGAGGGAGAGGGAGAGGGAGAGGGAGAGGGAGAGGGAGAGGGAGAGGGAGAGGGAGAGGGAGAGGGAGAGGGAGAGAGAGAGGGAGAGGGAGAGGGAGAGGGAGAGGGAGAGGGAGAGGGAGAGGGATATCCATGTGAAACACACTGATTACCTCCCACAGGAAGCTGGGAGACATACAACTGAGGTGTGTGCCCTGACTGGGAATTAAATTTGATATCCTTTTAGTCTGATTGCCAATGCTCTAACCACTGAACTACTGG